TGACATGTTGCTGGTTCTTTATAAACTAGGTTTGTATTGGCTGAGCTGCTGATTTTTCAAAGAACTAGCAACGTGTCAGGCACGAACCATCCCAGCTATTTCTCAAAACATTGGTAAAATTTTAGTTAATCTATCACAAAGTATATATTTATAATATTTGAAGTATCCCAGCCAGGTGGCTGAAATTATGCTGTTTGTGTACAAATCATACCTCTCCCGGCTTGGCTGGAACCCTTTCATGCCCGTGGTGAGAGCCATTTGAAAATGCGCTTGTTTTTGAATGAGCTGAGAGGCAAACAAAATTTCTCACGCTATGTCACACCATGTCACGACATTTTGGTATTGTAGATTATCAGTAGATAGTGGTTTTCCTGCCCCCCGAGCCTCCATCATGACCACATCCTCCTCTCAAAAGAAAGCAGCTGCCTTGGCTCTCCTTAAGTCATCTCATGCTCAATGAAGGAAGGCTGCTTCCCTTCAGCCACAGCTGCTGCTGCTGTATCACTGGCTTCAGTATCATTTCTTATTAAATCACCTCAGCATAATTCAATTTTAACTGGTCATGCTTGGGTTAGGGAGCTATTATGTGGACATCCTCGTTGATTCCATAATATGATGGGGCTTCCCAAGCCAGTTTTCTGCAGGCTCTTTCAAGAGCTTGAGGATCATGCAGGCTTTTGTCACTCCAAGCATATCTCAACAGAGGAGCAGCTTGCTATCTTTCTCTAAATGTGTTGCACTGGTGGAACAAATAGGGATATGCAGGAGAGGTTCCAGCATAGTGCTGATACAATTCCAAAGTATGCATGTGTTTATTCTTCAATATCATTCACTGAGTATCAAACCTTGTTACTTATAGGATCTTTCACTATATGCTCAATATGGTGGTTTCTCCTGCCTTTTACCGGAAATACATCAATCTCCCCCCTAATGAGGAGGTCCCTCCTGAAATCTGAGATGAGCCCAAGTTCTATCCCTTCATTAAACAGTGTTGTGGTGCTATAGATGGTAGCCATATTGATGTCTTTGTTCCTGATGATGCTTTTACTGGACAATATCATAATTAGAAGGGTCGACTCTCTCAAAATATCCTTGCTGCTTGCACCTTTGACATGCACTTTCCATATGTCCTGTCTGGCTGGGAGGGCAGTGCTGCTGATAGTCGTGTGTACAACAATGCTCAGAGCAATAGCTGTGTAATTCCTCCAGGTCTATATTATCTTGCGGATGCAGGCTTTCCCTCATGTGCTTCTCTTTTGGTCCCCTACCGTAGAGTACAATACCATTTGAAGGAATGGGGTAGAGCTTCACAAAGGTCTTTATTTCTTTCATTTTGATATCTCAGCTCGTACTTGTTATCTTTCAGGCCCAAAGACTTCAAAGAGCTTTTTAATTTATGTCATGCTTAAGCTCGTAATGTTATTGAGCGCATCTTTGGGGTGGTCAAGAGACGCTTTTGACTAATGGTTGCAGTGTGAGGAATCAATTTTTCTTATTGCATTCCCGTCATGTCGTGGTTAGCAGACTCAATCCCTGTCACTCCTCTTGCCCTTGGACTAGAGATTACAGCAGGTGTTTTATTACTTTTATCCTTTTTCTTCTTATTCTCTATTCACACTCACGTTCTATCATACCTACAACAAAGGAGACTTGTTGTAGACCCTCGAGAAGATATCCAAATGACATAGCAACAATCCAGTGCTATGTTGGGGAATACTTCGGAGGAATATTGATAAACAAAGAAGGTTGTGAGTCAGCGCCTTCTTATGGGCTTACTGATACAGCCAATTGCACATCCCTTATCAATACATTTTCTCATACAATTAGTAAATACAATAGATTGGACCACCTTCTCCTTTTTTCTTATTGGTCAGTTAGCTGGTCAGACCACTTTCTCAGTTCTTCCCTTTCTCGGTCTGACCATAGCCGTTCACTATATAAAGAAGTACATACTCGATGTATTGTTCTCTAGTTCAATATTGGTTTGGATTTGCGCTCATACCGATACTCTTCATCCTCATACCCTGATTCACTGCCTTCCAGCAAGGACTTGACCAGGCATTGTGCTTTGTTATATAGCTTCGTATTAGTTGCCTGACAAAATATTGAACTCACCATCCTTTGAATCCTTTTCCAGAGCCACTCTTTGGAAAACCGTTTCCTTACACCCTGAAAAAGACTGTCGTTGCCACTGCACCGGTCTAAACCTTCATCATCACCTTCTCCACATCTCTATCATCCCTATCCCTCTCCTCACTATTGTCATCAACCCCTCACTATCCACACCACTACACCTATTGTCGTTCAGTCTTCTCAAACTGGACGTCTTATCTACCATCACCACTCTCGTCCAATTCATTGCATTCTTCGCCATCATCAGATATCTACAAACCGGACTCGTCAGCGACATTGTATACTTCCATTGTGTCTACATCCCAACAGCTCTCAGAAGAGTGGGTATCAGACGCGGACCACAGACACCAGAGAGATTTCCTCGCAGCCCTCAACAAACCGCTCCCAGTCCTCCCCGTCCCTACCGAAGCCCGTACTCCAGACGCGGAAGAAATGGTTGAACAGATCACTGAGTTGTATCAAGACTTCTCTGCTTTGTCTTCTCCAATCGATCCGACCGAGGAAATCATCCTCGACATAAACGACGCCCTCGCCCTCACCCAGTCCATTTTTTACCATTCCGCCATCTGTAGGAGAAATTCTCGCAGTCTCGAGGAGGTACTCCAACGTCTCCGACAGAGCACGGAGAGAACTTTTAATCTTCATATCCCTGTGGCATGAACAAATTCCGTTGATCGACTACTTTGAGAGCCTAGTACGCCCGAGTTACGAGAATACTCCGAGGGTTAAGCTTTTGAAGGGAGTAGCCAACGTACAAGAGCGAAACCTACAACTTATTTTGCAGAGCCATATTCCAGACCTCCTCGACCTCTATCGAATTCACCCCTTTTCTTTCCCTGACATACCCAGCCGCCTCCTCCCCTACGACTTCGAACACACCTTGCTTTGCGGCATTGTGTTAAGAAAGAGGCCTCACAAAGAACCCACCTACGATATCCCGTCCTCATTTTTTACATCCGACTACTACAACACCTACTCCGCCTCTCCTGTCAGTTACCAACCTATCCAATACTTCTGCATCGGCAATCATCTGGACCACCTTTCCATTGTCCAATATCTGACACGACTTCGCCAAACTCTCTACCTCCCCAAAATCCAAGATCTTGACGCATTCGGACCACGGTTTGGTCTTCAACACAGCACTTCTATCGTAATTGTCACGCCCTCTACCAAAGATCATATTCAACGAGTTGTTGCTGCGTTAGCACAATTTGATCAGCTCATTGCAACCGCTCAGAGGAAATCCCGTGACGGAGAAGATTACACGACCAAAATTGACGATATCTGATACGTTTCAGAATATGTCGACGAATATTATTGGATCTTAGAAATCCTCACACCATTTGTCGTCAACCAACAATCTGATCATCCCGAACGTTTCATTGTTACCGTTGTCGATGATGAGAACTGCTGTTAGAAAACCACACACAAAACAAACTAACACACAATCCTCCCAGATTCCACGGAACTTGTTTATGGGCTTTGCCTCCTAGAACAGTGGAGTGGTCTGGTTGTTCGTGGGGTGGTACGTATAAAGATCCTTCAAAGTAAAACCCAGAGGTGTATGAGTGTGGGTTTTGAGGAGGAGGGATAGTTGAATTTATAGGAAGATAGGTGCTTTGTGGCGAGTATAGACGAGCACTACCTTGCTAATCGTAGCACAAGGTAGGTTTGAGAACAACGAGGATGACGAGGTGACGAGGTTCCCAGTGATAGCAGGCTCCTGACGCACAAACTGTAGTGCTCAGAAGGACTCTAATCAAAGGGGATGACAATCACTTTCAAAAGTGATGAGTGACGATGACAGCAGTTAACAGTGGTAGAAGTGGTAAGTGTTGTGACCACACTGGGTCACAAGTAGCAGAGTAGTGAACTTGAGAGTAGAGAAGAAGTCTGGAT